TTTCTCTCTCTTTTGTTGATATGTAGCATTTTGGATTATTTATATATAACTTTAATGATATGATTAGCTTTATGATTTATCAGTCTTTAGCCACTATCATGCACACCTTCACCTCTGTGCTGCTGTATGTTGATAAAATCCTAACTTGTTGTTCATATGTATTGTTAATCTTGGATACACAGTCTGAGTCTTTAATCATTTCCCCCAAATTTCAGTTAAAGTCACTGTCAACCATTTTTTTTTTCAGTATTTGTATCACAAAATGAGGTATTTTTTGTATTATATAAACTCTTGTGTTTTCACAGTTTCAAGAATCAGTTTTCCCAAACGGGACGATGAGGGAGATGATGAAGACGCCCACCGTCGCCTGTCAGAATAACAACGCATCAAGCCGACTCTGCACCTCTTGGATTGTGAACCACGCGGGGATTTTACTTCTGTTCCTCTGGTTTGCATTAATGTAACATGGTTGTATGAGCAACAGATCCAACTTCAGCCGGTCAAGGAAGACACAGTTAATCCTAATTGTGTCCTATTTGATATATTCAGCTTTACAGGACATTTTCTTGGGGCTTGTTCTCTCATTAAATTACACGTCTTTTCTCGTTGTTGCTGATTGTTGATCACAGCATTATTCATATTATTCAACAAGTGACTCATCATAATGGAGTCAGTCAAGAATACATTAAATTTATACTGTTTTTGGATAGTTTCATTTCTTCCATTTTACGTGACATGTTATCAGACTTTAAATGTGCAAATGATCTAACGTTAATATTTTTGAATGAATTATGATGTTGCACATCAGTAGAGACGTTTGCCAGGTATTTAATCAGTCAGTCCTGTTATGTTATTTTATCTTAACAGACCTTTTTCACAGGAGACTTGCTATAATAAGAAAATCACAGGTATTACTAATGACACAAACAATTACTGATCTATAAACCACACGGTAGCTAACAGGCGCTATCCACCAACTCTACCTTATATTATGTACTTCTCATGTTGTCTATGCACAGGTTATGATTATTAGGCACCAAAACTTATGCACTTATCTGTTTGTATACATGACTTGTGTTCAATTGCACTGTAAGCCTAATTGTTGATTTTTATATGTATGAGAGTTTTTAAATCATTAAAGGTCACTCCCTTAATAAAAAAGAAAATATATATGTGTGTGTGTGTGTCTGATTATGGGGCTGCAAGGTGGCTCGGTAGTTAGCATCGTTGCCTCGCAGCTAGAAGGTCGCCAGTTCGCGTCGTCGCGGTGTATAGATAATGGATGGATGTCCAAAAAGGACAAGTTTATTTATTTAGCACCTTATCATACACAGAGGTTGGTCTAAGTGCTTTGCAAACAAGGGGAGAAAGAACAAAACATGTATAAGATAACAGGCACAAAATATAGGAGAAAGAAATTTAATTACTTACATTAAATAAATGAAAACTGTGCAAAAATGTTGCACATGGATTTGATGGAATATTTTTAAAATGACTGACTGAGATTATGAAATACAAGTGATAAAAAAAGATATATTATGCATATATTGTACATTAGTGGGCAGACAAGTTGAAAAGTCTGGCTGTTTAGGACAGACTTTAAAATTTAATTGAAAGATGGGAGAAAAAAAGAGAACTGACTTCGGCTTACTTTTAAAAATGGCTGAATTTGGGGCAAATCTAAGGTCTAAGAGGAGCTGGCTGCATATCTCAGATCATTTAGAGAATTGTAGGAGAGTAGTAGTAAATTCAATTCTATATTTAATCAGAAGTCAGTCCAAGGATCTGAGAATAGTGTTTTAATTAACCATTACAGAATTCAGAAAGCTTTTACTGCCAAGTAAAACACACACAAGGAATCTGACATGGTGAATGAAACTGGAACACAATAATAACAAGACAGGCAATAAATATAGAAATCTAAATCTAAAAAAAAATCTAAATAAAATATTATATGTGAAGGAAAAGTATAAAAGTACTCTATAAATAAAAAGTATTGTGAAAAAGAGACATAAACTTGCCTCAACCACAGTAATAAAATAGAAAATTGAAATGAAATTGAGGAATTGCGCATGTAAAGATGTGTAATTGAATTAATTAAAGGTGTAATTAATATATGTAATGTGCTCTCTCTTCTTCCTGTTTGTCAGTTTTCCAGCAGCAGCATTTTAAATGACCTGTAACTGTCTCGTGAGGCCAGTCAGGAGTGTTTTCCAGCCGTCCGCTGTGCAGGTGAATCATGCAGTTACGCGGACGCTCCTCTGGGAGGCGCTCTAACCTATTTGTCCACTTGTCACTGACTGTGCAGGCAGAGAATGAATGTGTACGGCTAGCCGGCTGGTAGCTTCGGCAATGTTGTTGTCACTATCAGAATGATATCGCAGCGGGACAGAGGAGAACTTGCTCGGTTTTATACTGTCACAGACCCCAAAAAGCACCAGAAAGGCTACACTGTGTACAAAGTCACCGCGAGGGTAAGTAAACGGACGCTGGGCACTCTGACAGGCTAGGCTAATGCTAGGTGTTATTAGCTAGCATAGCTGTGCTAGCCGAGCTAATGTGATACAGAAACCAAACATTAAAACGCCACCGTGGCCTCTTAATGATGAGCTGACAGTGGGAGCAGCTTGCGGGGGCACAACAGATGTAGCCGACGAGCTTATTAAGACTTGTGTATGTTTTAAAATATGGGTTTTTACACCCCAGTGGGTTGTGTGGTTGCTAACTTTAATTAGCAACATCAAGGAGATTGACTGAATCCAACCCAATCGCTGCTTAATAGCTTAGCAGCTAGCAGGGTGAATGCTATTTATAGCTTTAGCATAAACAGACATTAAGGGGATATCAGCTGGTTCATGCTGTCATCGTATTTTGAGTGAATTTTCTCAGTGAAATGATCTGATGCTATGAAGGATCATTTATTACCAAGTCAGACCTGCTGTTTAACTGTGATGGAGCAATGTCAGGTCTAGCTTCATAATTATAATGTCAAAATCTGTCCCCAGGAGTAAAGACTCTTCCAAGTTGGGAAGAAAAGACCAAAAAAATTGTACCTACTACTTTGAGAAGCTTTAATTTGTCAGCACATGAACAGATTGTTATTATGGAGTCCTCTGATGGTGATTGCCTGTCAGCACTTCTGTCACCAGAAATGTCTCCGGCCAGTTTGAGAACTTCAGACGAGAACAGGCTGAGTTTCTTTGTCTCGGCCTGGCTGCCATCCTGCTGCCGGTGATGTCTCGCTCTAACACTCAAGACCGCCGTCATTTGCCTTATAAAGCACTCATTGTCACACTCGGAGCCGGAGCCCTGCTCATACGAGTGCCAGCCCCACAAGAATGTGTTTGCGGCAAACATATAGGCAACGCTCACATGGAGTTTCCTAATCCTTGAGTTCTCTTGTCCCTCTTTCACACAGATAATCTCCAGGAAGAGCCCAGAGGATGTCCAAGAGGTAAGACAGGCAGCCATTTTTTATTTATAAGTCTGTGAGTGTGCTGTGCTGTTTTTAATTATTATTTTTTATTTACCCGGTGAGAGAAGTCGGTGACTTTCTTGTACAACTTGTGATGTGGGTTTGGTGACATATTTGGGAAGGAATTTTCACCCCCAGGTCAAGATTCCAAGAACATTTCAACAGTTTGAATTTTTCAACAAATACAAAGTGAAATTGATAAAGATAACTCGTGGAAAAAGGTTGTGTGTGACTCTGCAGGCCTCACCTTTGTTTTTTACACGTGACATTTTACAAACCAAAGCTTAATTTTCCTTACCAGTTAATTAGAACGCACTGCATTGGGCCTACAGCAGGAATTACTCAAATCTATTCATTGTGGAGTGTTTATAGACTATCATACATCACTAATTAATACATGGATTGATTAGGGGTATCTGTTTTTCTCTGAACAGCTGTTTTGTCGTTACACAATTTACCGTGTGTCCGTGAACATGCAGTAAAATAAAAAACAAATGCATGCTCGCTCACATTTCCTACACACTGAGGAATGCAGTCAGGCATGGAACCAGCGCTAATGCAGCCGGCATGATGTCAATTACTGCATGTGTGTCTAAGAGACAGAGTGAGAGCAGTTTGTCGAGAAACACACATACCTCCATTACCGAGTAGCGTTCCCGTCTGGAAGTGGTGGTCAGTCTGGTTCTGCTCACATGAGCCAGCAGTTTGAGATTTTAGCAAACTGGACTTCTATCTTCAGCGTTACTGTGCTTTGGCTTATCCCTCTATGGAAGTAACTGCTTCATCCAGGTTTGTGCAGCGATGTTGTGGCTTGTGTTTGACGTTTTGTTGCACAAGATGGCGGTGACATGAGAGAACATGTGAGTTCCTTTGATTCATGTGTTGGCATCGACTCAGTCGCTTAAGTTAATTGTTCGAGTATTTAAATGTTTTTGTCTTTGACAGGATATTAAAAAATCAATTAAATGATAATGAGATTACATTTACACACAAGTATTAAATCAAGTTTGTTCTTCAGGTAGTGTTTGGTATTTTGAATTTTCTTAGATCTTTAAATGCAAAACTATTGATTCTCTAACTCCTCCCTTATGTCAGCTTCCTTCCTATCTCCAGCCATGTCATATCGCTCTCTCTCTCTTTCTGTAGATAACAGTATGGAAGAGATATAGTGATTTCCGGAAGCTACATCAGAATCTCTGGCAGCTGCACAAGAATGTATGTAGCCAGTCGGAGCTGTTTCCTCCCTTTGCTAAGGCCAAAGTCTTTGGTAAGAAACCAAACCTCTCCATTTCCGTTTGTCAGATATTTATACTGATGAGAACAAAAGCTTGTCTTTACTATAATGGCACTGTGACTGAGCTTACAGAGGCTTTCTCTCCATCTGATTTGTCCTTGCTCCTGTGCTACATTATCTTTGGGTTTACTTGTGTGTTAACAATCCTCTGTCCCCCCTGAAGGCGGCTCAGTGTTATTGTACAATAAGCAAGCTGGAGTTTTACTTGATTTGATCACTCGCTTAATGGAAATTTCCCGTTCGTGTGTGTGTGTGTGTGCGCAAATGTAGGTCGTTTTGATGACTCAGTGATTGAGGAAAGAAGACAGTGCTCTGAGGATCTCCTACAGTTCTCTGCTAATATCCCTGCTCTTTACAGTAGTCAGCACATCCAAGATTTCTTCAAGGTACCTTTGCACACTTTGGCAGAAACACAAGCAATAACCGTAATAATAATAATCCCAGTTAGACTGTTAACTGCGTTTTTTTTTGTCAGGGAGGAGAGGTCCACGACGGCTCGGAGCTCATCGGACCAGCCGAGCCGTTTTCTGACTTCTTGGCTGACAGTTTGTCAGACTGCAGCTCTGATGGTGGGTTACACACAATCTTGAAAATCAGTCTTTTTTCCAAATTTGTAGTGACTACAGATTCAGACTTGCTTATTATTGTGTGGCCGTGTTTTTCAGTTCAAAGAGACATCAGTGGGGCGGATGATCTGACGATCACATCTGAGTATGGAGGTAAACTCACACTCATGTACATTAGAGCTCACTTATATTGTAGTTCTTTGGCCATGTGAAGGATTTTTAGTACGTGTGCATGTATGCAGCTGTCTGTGTTGACCTGAGGATTCTTGTCCACCCCAGGCCCGTCCAGTGACAGCGACCTGACCTCCCTGGCGGTGGATACGGACTCTCTGGCCGAGTTGGATGATGGCATGGCCTCAGGTCGCACCTCCCCAAACCAGCCACAAGGGGGAGCCACCAACATTAGTAGTAGCTGCAGCCCACGCTTGCCCTCCCTGCATGAACGCCGCACTCCATCTCCTGCCCCGGTCCCTGCCTCCTCAGCCCCTAACCCAGAGGTCAGCTGGCCAGGCCGAACGCCGCTCTTCTCCGGCGGTCTGAAGAAAGTCGGCGGCGGCGGCGGCGGCGGCGGCAACCCGAAGGACGTGAAGTCAGACTACCTAGACAAAGCCAGTGAGCTCATCTGTGTCGCCGTACAGAAGGAGAAAGAACAGGACTACCAGGCAGCGTTTTCATACTACCGCAGTGGGGTTGACTTGCTGCTGCAAGGAGTGCAAGGTCAGTTTGGCAGAGAGCTTCATAAGTTTTCTAATAGGACAGTAAGGGCCCTTTGAGTACTGAGAACATACATTAAAGGCTTGTTTTATTATTTTTTTTATTATTATTGAATCCACGGTATGTTAAAGCTTTACTCTAGCAGCTCAAAGTTAAACAAAAGGACAAACACTGATTTAAATGTAGGGGCAGGATTGTCAAAAGCATGCAGTGAACTACCTCAATTCATTATTCATTGTTTCAAGCCATTAGTCGACCACTTGTTGCACATTTATGATAGTAATTATCTAAACATATATTTTGTGGGAAAATGATTTGGTTTCCAGAGCTGAGAGAGAATGTGATAAGTAGGCTAACATTGTCAACACAGTGCCACATGACGCAGAAATACAGCAGTAACGAGCCTTTAAAGTATGAATATTACAAGCACGTGCATGAAGCGAGCTGCAGCAACACCAGTGAAACCAGTGGGCTGTTGGTTCTGCATGTGTCAGAAAGCCCAGCAAGGAACTGCACATTTTCTTAATAAGCCTGATCGTGTAGCGCACCTCAGGTCGACAAAACGCAGCATCTCGTTCTATGTCACCACGTCGTGTCGCCTTCTTGGTGATGTTTCTCTCTGACACGATCCCACACTTCGGATTTCCTGCCAGACTTGCGTAACTAATCTACTATCGAATAACTGCAGGGACCAGCAGTGTTAATGTCTAACCATGACTGAGTGTTTTCACAGCTTATGTGCATATTATACATTCTATGACAACAGCAAGGTCCTTTCATCGTAGACTTAAGCTTAAAGAACATGTTTAAAAGTAATGTCTGAAGTCATGGATGACAGAGCTACAGATGGTACGACGCAACTGATTTCACAGTTGGCTAGAAAATCCATTAAAATGTTCCATGGCCCACAGGTAGGTCGCAACATCCCGTAATTAAAGGAAAGACAAAACCATGTTGGGCTGCAAGGTGGAGCAGTGGTTAGCACCGTTGCCTCGCAGCAAGAAGGTCGTCGGTTCGTGTGCCAGTGAGGACACCGTGGAGCCTCCATGTTCTCCCCGTGCAGCGTGGGTTCTCTCCGGGTTCTCCGGCTTCCTCCCACAGTCCAGAAACATGCTGAGGTTAATTGGCGATTCTAAATTGTCCGTAGGTGTGAATGTGAGTGTGCTTGGTTGTCTGTCTCTAAGTGTAGCCCTGTGATAGACTGGTTACCTGTCCAGGTGAACCTGCCTTCACCCTGAGTCAGCTGGGATAGACTCCAGCCCCCATGACCCTAGTGAGGATTAAGGTGTAGAAATAATGGATGGATGGACAAAACCATATTGCTGTGCAGGTGCATGAATTTATAGCAAGTGGTAAAACTTTCCACCAGAGCAATAAGAGTGGTCTTGTCTTCATAAAGGCTATACATTTGGAAGCAGCCACCCTGCTGAAGTGTCTGGCTCTGACTACCGCCTTTTCGCCTCCACTGTAGAAAGGCTGAACCAAAAATCCATCACCTTTGTGCTCAATGGGTTGTCGCTGTAATAGCAAGCTGTTTTGTCAATAAATATTATGCTAGTACAGACTCTAAAAAGCTCCACTCTATAGAAGTTAAATTATTGATCTCACTCGTGATTTTTCAGGGGAGCCCAGCGCCACGCGACGAGAGGCGGTGAAGAAGAAGACTGCTGAGTATCTGATGCGCGCAGAACAGATATCCAGTCAGCATCTGAAAAGCAACATGGGTCAAGGGTCAACGCAGACGGTGGTGAGTAGGAGGGAAATGTCTTCATGTGCATGCATCAGCTTCAGGATGCCCTGAAAAAACGCCTGACTTATAATGACCATAGTGAAGAGGACTACGGTTCATCTGTTCATATATTTGATTTTGACATTGACTTGTTGTTTTTATATATTACATGGACCGAGTGTTGCAAGAACTTGCATACCTTTAACACACTGAAAGGCCTTTTTATTTTTCAAGGCCTTTGGGGCTCAGTGCTGCGCTTCCACGAGCAGAGGAGGGCAGCAGAGTCCGTCTGAGGAGCTGAGAGCTTACAGGGTGTTAGGAGTCATTGATAAGGTAAGTTCACGGCTTACGAGTCCTGCAACCACATTTTGCGAATATGTTTTGATGTTGTTTCATCCTTAAACCAAATCACCAGTGTTTTTTACGACCAGGTGACTCTGTAAGGTGAATAAATGGGCCTGTTTTAACTTGTCTCACATGATTTAATGTCAGAATTCCCTCAAAATAATTACAGTCAGGTCGAGGAAGCGCTCGTTTACTGAATCATAACCCTGTCCCAGGATGTGGATGATATCCATCTTCAGATTTCTCCTCCTTGTGTCCTTCTTCGACCATCTTTTTTTTCTTTTTTTTTTTTTCTGAGGCAATAAAAACGTAATAGATTTACTGGATGTATGGTGAGGGCTGAGTGTGTGTATGTTTAGCGTCAGTTATGACTACCACAAGGTCAGTTTGGGTTGCTGGTCCTCTCAACCAGCTGCCTGCGAAGCAACTTCACCACTCAGGCATGAAATGACTTGGCAAGCAGCTCAGAGAGCGACACACAGCATTGAATCAATGATGCTCATCCTATACTCACACACACACACACGCACACACACAAAACCCTAAGGAAAATGTTGACACAATACCAACATGTGTTACCCCATAGAGGTGAATGCAAAACACACAGTATGTCAGAAACCATTCAAGCCCAAAAAAAAGGGAAAAAAACAAACATAAGCAGAAGCAAAGTTGTCCAGCAATGGGCTGGCGTCGCTCTCCTCTTTCTCCTCCTTCCTCCTTTCACTTTAAATGGGGACGGAGGGGACAGATGGAGAGAGCTCCTCACCCTACTGCCCCCCCCCCACCCCTCTCCACTGCCCCTCCTCTCCACCTCCCCCCTTCCCTGATGTTTGTTTCTTAATTATATTAGCGCCCTGGCTAGCACCGCCACTCTGTTTACTCACAGCTCCATTCATATCCATTTAGCCTGCACCTGTTTGGTCCCAGTCAGGGTCACATGGAGAGAACGCACCCCCCCAAAACATACGCACTAGCGCACAAACACACCAACACACACCGGGTCACGCACATATGCTCAAGTTTCCCCCCGAGACGGCGGGAGAGCAGAAGAGCAATGGAGATGTCAGAGAGAGGAAAAGCAGGGCTGAAGAAGGGAAGGGAATGAAGACATTAGGAAGGAAAGGAGAAAGTACAGGAAAGTGAAATGGTAGGAGCTTCTTTTTGTTGTTGTTCTTGGTTTAGAGATGGTGCTCTTAACCCTCTCTGTCATCACACATTGCGTAGCTCTGTGGTGAGATATGTTTCTAATTTGTGCATCTTTCATATGAACAGAAATGTGACCGACCATCAGTTTGGCTTCCTTGTCTGTCCTTATTGGGCTTTTATGGATTAGAGCTGCAAACATTTTTCAATTAGGGAACAACTCGTCACTTAATTGCAAGCAAAAGGAAAAAAAAGGTCAAAGTTCTCTCATTCCAGCCTCTAAAGTTTTTAAAATTTCTACTTTCTTTACTCCTCTATGCCAGTAAATATCTATCCTTGGGTTGAGGTCAAAAAGGATGCCATCTTCAGCTTTGGGAAACACAGATTGATATCTTTCACAAACTAAACAACGAATAAGTTGATCAATAACTGATTAATCAAAAATGAATAGTTGAAATAATCAGTAGTTGTGATCCTTTTATATTAATGACTATATAGGTAATTTGTCTGATGTTTTTCTGTTTCTAAATCTATGAAAACTCCAGTTGTAGTGAAAATTGATCATCGTAAATTGTTTTAACTCCATTCGGCTTTTCCTCTACGGAGATCTATAGATCCCTTTAGCCTGCGTTACATTCTACGACTGGAACTTAGTTTGGTCGACGCAGCAGGATCCGACATGGTGGAGCCAATTTTTCGAGTATAATTTAGGGACCTACATTCATCTTGCTGTGACCCTCATGCGTGCCCTGACCCAACCGTTGAAAAACATTGCTCTGGAGGACGTAACCACTACATCATCTTAGACCGCGTATGTCCGTTCATACCCGGCAATTAATGGCACTCTTCCATCACAGGTTCTTCTGGTCATGGACAAGAGAACACAGGAGACGTTCATCCTGAAAGTAAGTGTAATGTGTGTGTGTGTGGTGTGAGAGTGTGTGTGTTTCGCCCTGCATCCTCGTCGTCCTGACTGTAAGTGTGAAGTGTGCCAGAAGCCCCTGTGTGTGACCGGTGTAATTGATTCTAATGGGCCTGTCCCTGTCAGCTCCTCTGCTCTCAGGTGTGAGACGTGTGCCAGATGCCAACGCACAGCGCAGCCACAAATGACTACACACACACACACACGTGTGCGCGCACGCCGACACGCACTCGCAACGCACCCAATGTGAACTTTGCGTGTAGCGCTGATAGATTTGTGTGGCTCTTTTGTGTGCTGTATGTAGCTTGATGAATCCAGTGACTTTGGGTTGCCACGGGGCATAGCTGGCACTTCGTTAATGGAAGGTTTCTCCTTTGCCACACTACTTTACTCTTTTTTTTTCTACACCTTACTCTTTACTAAATGCTCATCTTCCTCCTCCTCCTCCTATCACATGTGGGTTCATTTTCCCTTTCTCCTCTTCTCCTTAAATGCATGTTAACGACTTCCGTGCTTACTTCATCTTTAATTACTCACCTCCTTCTTTCTTTGCTCTTCTTATTGCAGGGCCTGAGGAAGAGCAGCGACTGTGGGCGGGCCAAGAGGACCATCATGCCTCACACTGTGCCCCACATGGTGCAGCTGAGGAAGTTCATCGTCTCCGAGGACGCCGTCTTCCTTCTGCTGCAGTACGCTGAAGGTAAGAGACACATTTCCCACTCGTCTGTTTTGCCTCTTTTGTCTTCTTTACCTCCACCTGTCTTCTCCCCTCCTTCACCTGATCCCTTTTTCTCTCGTCTCCCACCCATCCCCGTGCCCTTGTTCCAGACAGATGTTTGATAGAGATGGGTGTGTGTCACAGGTCATTATTCTGAATACCAGGTGGCGCCATGCTTCATTAGCTATGCCAACACCTGGGCCTCCTTACATCCCACTCACTCTAGGATGTGTGTGTGTAGACTGTGTGTGTGTGGGTGAGTGCGTACAATGAAATGCAGCCATATTTTTTAATGCCCTGTAACCTATTCAATCTGGTGTACTCCATAACCACCCTGTGCTAATATTAGTGGACAGTATTGAATATCATATGGGGCTGTTCAACATGATCTAATAAAGCTAATCAAATGCCAGTTCAATCAAAAACACTTTCGCTGCCGTTATGTCCCAGTTCTGTGATTTCGGGAATTTCAGGGTTCCTCCTTGTGCTTGTGTAGCGCGCGCTTCTTTTAACGTGGGAGCGACTGATGGGTTGAATAAGGATAGACAAGCAGACGGAGGGAAGCAGTGACCTGAGTGACATTGGACAAAACAACATGTGGATGGTTTTACTTTCTAAGCCATCGAGCTGCCCCGCTATCATTATCATCACTGTGAACTCCCTATTCATTCTCATCACACACAACAGATGCTGGCTTCCAATTGCTCACACTGCAGCTCTGTGTGCTTCTCTATGTCTGCGTGCATGTGTGTGTAGCCAAGTTGGGGTTTTTTTTATGTAATGTTTTCATATCAGAAAAGTGAGATGCATGTCTGCTAAAGAGTGTTTGCTGTGCAAAGTGGGAAACTACACAGATACCCACAGACTTTTATGTGGCTACAAAGGTTCCAACTTGTCTTTGTGGCAATACATTGTGGTACTTTAATTAATTACAAATTAACTGTGTAATAAGTACCGTAATGTCCGGACTATAAGCAGCTACTTCTTTCACACGCTTTGAACACTGCGGCTTAAACAATGACGCGGCTAATTCATGGATTTTTACGAATTTGCCTCGAGACCAAAGTGACATCGAGAGCGACTGAGGAAGTGACGAAGTAATTCTGAGGCTGTTCGACTCCGACACTGAAGACTTTTGTGGTTTTAATGGTCAGGAGGAAGATGAAGATAGCGATCAGTGACTTTTCCTGGTAGGCTGCTGTAGCTTTTATTTTCTTAACCAGCCGTGTTACAGGCACTGTTCGGAAAAAAAGCATTTGTGTATTTGTGTATGTTACCGGTACGTATTTAATTAAAAGTTAAAAAAATCTGCAGCTTATAGACAGGTGCAGCCTGTATATGTACAAAACTGGTTTTCTTTTTAAAGTTAGCAGGTGCGACTTATATTCAGGTGCCTCAATAGTCCAGAATTTACGGTACTACTAAAGTACAATAACAACCTGGTCATATGTAAAGATCCATAAAAGTACCATAACCTGATTTTTCCCAAAATAAGTTAAAGTGTCTGGTTTGATATCATTGAAATGACATCAGTGCCTTTTTGTTGTGCCTTTTGTGTGCAACGATGTGAATTTCTCCACTGTGAGATAAATAAAGGCATATCTTATCTTATCTTATCTTATCTTATCTTGTTCACGAAGAACTCCTGAATCTATAAATCTGAAAATATGTTTTACTTCAAAAGTTTCATCGTTGGTTACAAGATACCTCCTACTTACCTTAAGCTCCTTTTTAATGTTCTAGTGTAATTTTCATATTGTGCTAGAAATGACCAGTAGGACTGAGTTGTGATAAAATAAATGTTGCTTGCAGTTACATGATGTCAAACTGACCGACAGTTTAGTAAACCCAGGGTGAGTGGCGTTCAAGCACAAGTGAAGTTCATTTAAACCGTACTGGAAAAAATGATTCAGTGGAAAAGTATTGGAGTCTCCATGTTCTCCCCGTGCAGCGTGGGTTCTCTCCGGGTTCTCCGGCTTCCTCCCACAAGGTCCAAAAACATGTTGAGGTTAATTGGTGATTCTAAATTGTCCGTAGGTGTGAATGTGAGTGTGCTTGGTTGTCTGTCTCTAAGTGTAGCCCTGTGATAGACTGGTTACCTGTCCAGGTGAACCTGCCTTCACCCTGAGTCAGCTGGGATAGACTCCAGCCCCCCACGACCCTAAAGAGGATTAAGCAGTGTGTAGATAATGGATGGATGGATGGAAAAGTATTGTAATGACCTAGTAATGACACACTTTCTGCCCTCCTCTTCCTCACCATAACCTTTCATGCACCCTCATTCTGTCTTTGGCTTTGAAGATGGTAGAAATCCATTTTTGTGTTGTTTTGTGTTTGTCGTAAACTCGGAGGTGTCGAGTAAAAGCTGCCAAGATGCAGAGACATTTACTTCTGCCAGTCCCCTTTGAATAAATCACCTCCCAGCTTTGCAATCCAGTCAGAATCTTATTCAGTTCCTAAGTAGAAACTAAGGAACTAATTGTTGGTGAGCTAAAAATTTGCATAATCCTGCCCCAGCGTTGCCTAGAGCTTGCGAGGTGAGCCATTCCGGAGGAGCAGCTGCCTCACAGGCTGCCAGCTTTTTTTTCACTTTCTTCAGTTACTTCTGCTAACTTTTAAACGTCTTAGCAGTTAGCGAAGTGTAGTGTTCTGCTGTTGGCTGCAACAGTGAACAGAGTCTCAAGGAAACCCCACCGACACCACAACAACAGGAAAATCCTTATGTACAGCAAATGTGGCTAACGTTTAGCTTTGATGTTATGCCCACCAGTCAGAGCACCATGAAAACTAAAGCTGAGGGACATTCATAGATGATGGAAATCCATAAACACTGTTTGTGGGTTGTTGCGTGTACATGTGACCTTTTGAGTTCCTGATCTCAGCCGGTGTCGGCCATTTACATCTGTTTGCTTGTCTTTCGCTCTCTGTGCGAACACGTATACTACATTCTAATACAGCCGAATTTCCAATTAAGCTGTTCTGATTTACATATGTTTCTGTTTCTGTTGTCAGACAACGGAACGAGTATGAAATAGTGACTGAAGCGCAGCCTATTGAGGCGATACGTTAACCTCACAGCCACTTCCAAGCTGCTGCTCTGCACGCTTTAAATACTGATTTAATACCCACAACGTTGTTTGATAAACTCAGCGTACACACGAGTTAATTTTTGCCAATGTTTCCGTGTCAAATGATCGCTCCGAGAGGAAGTTAAAAGCAGCAGAGAGTCTTGGTGTTCCACACATTCATGTCTGTTTCGGCTGCCATGTGTTTAACAGTTTGGCTTCGTGCTGTCAGATCGAGAGAGTTGCTCTTCTGAAGACGATGTGTACGGCAGCAGCTCAACTGTATTTAAAGTTACTGACACAGCCCTGTTCAGTGTCCAACACAAGGGCTTCTACACTACAGGAAATAAAATGTCTTTGCAGTAGTTTGAGCTAAAAAAAAAGATATTCTGCAGGCATGTGAGACTTCTGTTAATTTGCTGAAAGAGGGACACAATATATGACCTTTCAACACTTTGTTTTCTTTTATCTTTAGGAGGGAAACTGTGGTCTCACGTTGGAAAGTACCTGCGTAACTCCAGCCCAGACGAGAGCTTCGACATTCCTTTCATCCAGAAGAGCCACACGACGGCCGTGCACTCTCCACAACATTTAATCCCACACCTAGACGTAGGTTCGGCCAGTTGCGATTCAGGACCTGCTGCTGATTCGGAATCTGCATCGGAGTTGCCAAAGGAAGAACACAATCCCACCGTGTCTCCTCTTAAAAAGGCTCTGCCTCCCAGGCTTGTCGAACAAACCGGGGCCCAGTCGGATTCTGGAGCCACCTCTGAGGAAGAGTGCACCAACAGTTACTTGACGCTTTGCAACGAGTACGAACAAGATAAAGTCGAACCGGATGCACTGGAGGAGGAGGACGAGAGGAGTGAACAGGAGATGCTCTCACTGGAGGTTCCCAACGCCACGACCACCACGTCCTCACGCAGCCGCTCCCTCCTGAGCAACGACAGCCTCTCGTCCCCCATCAGTTCTCAGGAGCTTGGCTTCTTCAGTGAGTTGTCTGACAAAAGTGGCTACGCTCACGACAATGATCGTGGCGAAGGACAGGATCACAGTGAAGTCTTCAGCCCTTTACGTTCCCCTGCTGTGCCTATGTCTTTGGATCAGTCCAAGCACACACCCATGGAGTTTTTTCGAATTGACAGCAAAGACAGTGCCAGCGAGGTGACCTGCCTCGACTTAGGAGAGCGGCGCTCTTCTAACACGCAGGTTCCCCTTTTTTCTACGTCCGACCTGGGCTCCGATGTTACTGAGGATCTTCCAGAGCTGGCTCAGGAGGTCAAAGGCCCCGGCTTGGAGCTTTGGGGGTTGGACTGTAGTGATAAAGGCTCCAACGAGTCAGTGCCAGTCATCTCATTTAAAGAAGCAGTAGTGGAGGATGAAGGTCACCCCCCAGACCTTTTGGTCAACCTTCCTGTGATGAGTGGGACTGTAGACTCTTTACAGGAGGAATTAGAGACTTCAGGAGTGTGTCTGGGCCTCGAGGTCACGGCCTCTCCTCAAAAGTTTATACAGCCTGATGTTTTACAGCTTCACAGCCAGCCTGAGGGAGAGGAGGAGGAGCAGCCGCAGGAGCAGGAGCAGGAGCAGGAGCTTTCCTCTTTATGTATAGCCTCTGCAACTTGCGACACCAGTGCTGCATCTACGTCTCCTTTCAATTCACTGTGGGACGACTACAACCTGGCGTTTGGACAAGAGGCCTCTGACAAAATGTTTGATCACCCCGAATGCCAAAATAATGACCTCCCTCTTGATGCGGGCATCCCAGATAGTGAATCCCATAGTGAGAAACTAGAGCCCAAAACAAGCGAAAACACAGACTTGGTTCCAAACCTCAGCGGCAACAGCACAGGCTCCATCCCAGCCATAAATGGGGCTGAGGCCAGTGCAGTGGTTCAGAGTTTATTAGGTCTTGATGGTGAATCATCAAGAGTTATTAGTGATACAGGTGGCAGTGAATTTGATAAAGAAGTGTCGCGGCTGTTTGCAGAGCTGGACGAGCTGTCGCTGGCTGCATCCCAAGCTCGTATCCCGGAAGAGTTTGTGCGATGCTGGGCGGTGGAGATGGTGACAGCCCTGGATTCTCTGCACCAAGAAGGCATCATCTGCCGGGACCTAAACCCTAATAACATCCTGCTCGACCACAAAGGTAAGACATCCATTATTCCATTTTGTTTGTTGTTTTCTGTAAAAATTAGTTGTTAGCTTCTTCAGCTTGATTGAAGAAGCTCTCGTGTATTGTGCGAGGGGTTTTTGTTCTGTTGTTACATAAAAAGATGGTGGTAGATAAAAGCGCATCTCAATAAAATAAAACTGCCACTGAAAGGCTGCTGCTAAACAATAATGTTCACATGAATAAGTGCGTACCGGCTATTGAGCTGGAGCAGCACTAGTTATACAGTTTAGTGACAGATTAGTGAAAAAACAATTGGCTTATTGCAAGATATATACTTAAAAGTTGATTCTTGGAGTACTAAAATGGATTTAGAGAAGTCACCCAATGTATTATTCCTGTTACTTCATGATGGATGTAGCAGCACATCCAGATTCCTTTTGAAGCAAAGATGGACAATAATAGTCAGGACTAAGGCTCTTATATGTACATATATTACAATAATAGAAACAAATCCAAAAACCAGGGAAGTACCAGAAGTAAATGCTGTGAGATCACTCGTCCAGGTCATGGTAACGCTAAGCATCAAAAGCAACTGGACTTCTGCTTTTAGTTCTTTAGGAACCAAAAAGCTTTTAGGGTCGACTTTGAAGAAACATCAGAAAAAATACCAGTTCAGCTCCACTGAATCTGGAAGCTACAGCAAGCATAAAAAAACCCTCACATCACTCTAAAGCTGCTGTTGTTTTTTGTTCTGTTGTGGATTTTCATGTTTCTAACTTCTGTCGTGTGAAGTTAAGACGTAGTCCACACGAGGGACTGCCCCATCAGTCGACCGTGATCTAATCTGTTTACCAGAACGGAGGCTGTTCCTGAAGGCAAAGTGTTGTTTTACCATGAGGTCACAGATTCTCCCTCAACTTCTTCTTTTGTCGTCCTACAATCATCTCTCTCCACCTCGTTATCAACAAGCGTCTAATTAGCTGAGTGGCTGTTTTCGTCTCCCCGGTGGTAATTATTGTTCTAAAGGGCCCATCAACGGCCTAGTGTGGTGCATCAGTCTGGCTAGCCCAGGCTAATGGCCACAGCTACCTAATGACACCATTAGTTCTAATGATAGCGTTAACGGGTAGCTGCTAAACAGGAGTAATCGCCGGGGCTGTGTGCTTGAAAAGCTCACGGAGGGATGTAGAGAGGCAGAAAGGAACGGAGGAAGGAAGTGCTCGAAAGGTGAGTAAATAGTTTGAAAAGTTGAGTGCAGGAGTGACACCTGACTGTTGGGCTTTGACAGGAGGAAGAGCATCGCGTTGAACATCTTGAGCCCGACGCTTTTTCTTTTCTCCTCAGGCCACGTTCAGCTCACCTACTTCTGCAGCTGGTGTGACGTGGAGGAGTCCTGTGACAAGGAGGCCATCGCCAATATGTACTGTGCGCCAGGTGAGACATAAATAAACCCGCAATTAACTTTATTTCGCTCATCTACTCGTTCTCTATCGACTTTATTAACCCTGTGAACCCCCAGCATTTTTTTTCTCCTGCTCATCTTCTCTGTAAAGGGGCTGCACCTCTATGGAGCAGCACAACCGCAGACTAGAGTACAGTTAGAATCCCATGAAACATAATAAAAGAAACAATGAAGGTTATGTTTTTTTGGATTACTCTTTTTTTTTTTTTTTTTAAGTTGAACAAAAAAACTGGATGTGGCCACAGGTGTGAAAAAATGGCCGCTCCACATGCAGCACATTTTACTGCTTTCATTTTTAGTTTATTTCCACACTTGCCTCCTATTTGCTTTGCCTGCAGTTCAGCCCAGAAGCACCTGAATTGTTCTCACGTAATTGTTGGTTGCAGCTTCGTGTTTGTGCCGACCGTCGCATAGTTTTAAGTTTTTAGCCTATTATAGTGAGTAGAAAAGATGTTTTTTGTTTTGTTTTGTTTTGTTTTTTGATCAAATTTCCTGATTTTAAGCTTCGATTTTGATCATTTTTTCCTGTAGTGTGTCACAAAGGAACAGTTCAGAGGAGTATTCAAGTATTTAAAGATAACACACCTTTAAAACGAGCCGGCAGGTTTTCATCACAAGCCTCGTTTTGTGTGACTTTGCTCATCAGTTAGTGTGTTTCAGGTTAATTCTACACTTCGCACTCACTTACGACTGCACTCTAAAAATGCACAGACATCTAAATACACAGCTGCTGCTCTATTCTGTTATTAAATTAAAATGTAGAATGAGGGGATTTTGACAAAATGTGAGTATTTCCAACCAGAGAGTTCGCCACACCGAAGAAGTTCTGTTGAAAGATTACACACCTTTAAAACAAGCCGGCAGGTTTTGGCGTTCGGTCATTACAAGCCTCGTTTTGTGTGACTTTGCTCGTCAGTTGGTGGTTTATAATAACGTAATAAACTTTATTTGTACTTTAAGAATAGAATTCACAAAGTGCTTTAACATAATAAGGAAACACAAGACGCAGTGAGACGAGGCGACGCAGGAAAACAACAAAAAGTGCAGGCGAACACTCAAAAAAATATAAAAATACACAATAAAAATGACAAAGAACAGGCTGGGTCACTACCGGAAGGTGTGTTATGATTAAAAACTAGTAAAACTGATTAAAAAGACGACATCACAGAGGGGAATTAAGATAAAAGCCGAAGATAAAAGTAGATTAAGAAAGAGAGCCGGACAGCAGGAAGCACCGCTATAAAAGGGAAAAGAAACGGGTGAGAAGCTAAAAGAGAAATAAAAAGAGAACGTCACTCAAAAGCGAGTCCATAAAAGTGGCAGTGATTTAAAAAGCATGTGGGGTTAATTGACATTTGGGTCTCTCACATGGCCGCGAAACACTCACTACTCACAAAATCTAATTAAAAGCTGCCGTCCCGTTCTGTTTGCGTCGTACACCTTCTGCAGCTCAGCAACGTTATCTTCCATTTTACTCTCAGATGTGTGGAGGACAAACGAGAAACGCCTCTTTCCCTCCACCGGTGGACGTGTGTTGCGGTTTTCCTCTCGTCCTGTAGAGTGTGCTGTCGCGCAACAGTCCGCCAGCAGCGCCGTCACCCCGCGCGTTGCCCCCAGCTGGCTTGTGGCAGCTCTGGCATGCTGTTTAAAAGCTGCCTAAAACAAACTGCTGCTAGACTACAGCACCGAGTCCCTACTTAGCGCTTCACTCTGTGTGTGTGTGAGTGTGTACGCATACGTTTGACATCTACGGGTGGCTGAGTTATTCAATATGTTTAAGCATACTGTGCTCCTCGCTCGGGCTGTTGGGTTATGTGTTGTGTTTAATTTCACATTTCTTAAATATGCAGGGCTGCTGGGATGCACTCACAGACGTACACAGTGACCCCATTCGCTCACCCACACACTTTAAAGCTACTCTTTCACGTTCGTCCTCTCTCTCGAGGTCGATTTAAATCCTCCTTGTGTCTGCAACGTCTCGCTTTTGTATTAAACCTGAGAGCGACAAATGCTCTGTTTAATATCCCAAAGTGTTCGTTTTTACTCTCCTTGCAGAAGCTTGTTTAAAAGCATGTGTTGCAGCGGGCAGCAGTGGATGAAGTAAAGACACAGGAGTGAGTCTGAGCACCAGGAGCTCTGTGTGTGATGCAGCTTTAAGCACAGATGTGTCTCCCACTTGGTTGTTCAGTAATTAATCTAATTGTATTTGTCATTTTAAGATGCATGGACTTCTTTACCTCATCCTAAGCGAGGGGTTGATGGGTATCCTGGAATATGCTGAACATACTGGTCCAATAAAAATGTATTTATTAATACAAAAAGTAGGATTTTAACCAAATTCAGTCAAAGATCAGCTTAATTATTAAATTATTAGATTTATTTTATATTCTATCTGCTAATATATTGTGTCTAACCAGCTGTAAACACATGCAATGGATTTAATTTAGACTCAACAATGATTAGTTGAATTTTAAAATCATTGATTGTACACCTATAAAAATTACCAGCATTGTAGTGAAACGACGACCAGCGTCTGTGGTGATAAAAGCAGCGGGAGGAGAGCAGCTTTATGTAAACGTTGCACCTCATCTACAGAAGCTCCTGTCAGAGACCTGCTGTTTGAATCACACTCATGTTGGATTTACACAAATAATGGATTAAAAATGTTGTGTTTTTTTTGGCCAGTAAAAAAAAAAAAAGTTGAATTTTGTGGATAAACGCAGCTCGTCGGTGAACTGAGCCGGACTCGAGCGAACCTCAGGCCGGGTGTGAAAGGTCTTGTTTGTTAAACGACAGTTGATCCCATGTGGCTCGCTGGATGTAATGCGTGTTCGCCGCCAGCAGGGGGTGTGTTACGCTGCTGAGTGAGGAGGACGCTGGTGTGACCGTCCCACTCAAACACTGGCAACTTTCTCTCTTTATCTCGTGTCTCATTCTGTCCATCTTTACGTTAGATTCGGACAGAAACGCCGATCACAAAGTCACAGTGTCACCTGCTTTGCTTGCTTGTGCTTTTTTTTTTTTCTATACTTGCAGACTCCGACATGCATCATGCGTCTGTCTTTAGATGTATGTACATGTGAACACACACACACACACACACACACACACACACACACACACACACATTAACGCAGAGGTTAGTGTGTGTCTCTCCTGCCCTTGTTATGTATTGCTGTTTATCCAGACAGGGTCAGCTCTAGCGATGGCTTCATTCCTGATGACAGATTTATGACTGTTTGCCAGAAAGCTAGCAGGGGGCCTGCTGTGACTGTAAGTGTGCGTGTGTCTCTCTGTGTGTGTGTGTGTGTGTGTGTGTGTGTGTGTGCGTGCACGTCAGAAGGAGGGAAACATGTTTTTAAAACGCACGTTCACGCCCAAAAAACACGGGAGTGTGCTCGGAAAATACAGCGGCGACGTATTAATCTGTTTATTCTGCACTTCTGCTTATTTATTTTCTCACCATTTTGTCATTGCTGATAAACATCAGATGGTTAATGTTTTGTTCACTGATAAGAAAAAGAAAAAAAAAAAGCTGCTGAGTGACTGTAACCTAATTTAAGCAGAAATAGGAATTGTTTATTGTTCTGTGGAGAAGGAAGCGAGGCCAAAACTGATTGACTTGAATGTCTAAGAAAAGGGAAATTCAGACTTCTTCCTCCCCGAGGGAACAAGGCAGTTACTGAGGACGCTCGCTGTTTGTTGTTTTATATTTCATTTTACCTGCGCAGCTACATGCATGATGCGATGGAAGATAAAAGTTTTGTTCCTCTTTTGACACCGAGCTGTTATGTCATGGCTTTAAAGGGCTTTTCAAGGAACAAGTAGTATCCTGAAAGTACTTCTGCTTTGCTTCTCAAATATATTTACGCTCTCCTTACAGGAAAATTAGCTTTGTGTTAGCTTATATGATTTATTGTTTGTGACTGCTCAGCTCACCTGACACACACTCTTGTGTCTTGGAACACAGATTTATTTAATAGTATCACCAGGAATGAGTGTTCTCCCGCACAGAACAAACCAATAACTGCATGTTTCCTCCCAGTTCAACAAAGATAGACTTGAATTATTTTATTAGACCCGAAGAAGAAAGAAGCGTCACCGTGAACCCAAAAGCATCGGCTTTATAATGATTCAGCAAACAGTCACCTCAAGAATATATTTGTTGTGATCAGATATCCAAAAAAAAAATGACTGGCTTTGTCTTCTCACACTTTCCCTTGACTTTCATGTCCTAAAAGATGTAAAGGAGGGAATTAGGAAAAGAAAACTATTGTGTTAAAAGACTGCATGTACACAAGGATGATGTGCAGACGTTGTTGGCATGTTGTCCCTAAGATGAGACGATCGTTTTAAACTGATCTCCGTCTTACACGCAAGGCTACACGTTAAAGACGTAACGACACGGTTCTCACGTGTTTATTCACGCAAATTCCAATTAGCACGACTGTATGAAAATACATGTAAATTATATGCAAAACAGGCAAATCTGCTCCCGTACGTATAAATCTTAAGTTTCAGTCACCTGTCAAAAAATACTTGACGTCCCTTTTTTCTTGAGACAGGCCTCGGTTTTGTTGTTAATGTGTTTATTCTGATCTGAGTAGAAATCACAAGGAATATTATCTCCTTTATTTTCTGAAAGCACAGTCCAGTGTGTCCAACACTGAAGGAGAACAGAGGAAACACTGAAGCACATTTCTATACAGTTTAGAGACTTCAGACAGCTCTTATCATGGCTGCCACTTAAATACATCAGGCTCATTAAACAAAGCAAAAAAAAAAAACTATTCAACTGCACTTCTCAGATCTTCTTCCTGTGTGACATTAAATTCTAACAAAACTTAAAGAAATCGTTTTATGATTCTGCACTTACATTTTTCTTATTTTTATTTAACTCTTTGTGTCCTGCTTGTATCGTCCTCCTGCGCTGATGTGTGTCTCCTTCATATTTTTGTCGAAAGGTGTCCGACAGGTTAGTCTCGCCTTGCCTTGGAACGTTGCGCGCCGAGCCTTCCTTACTTCCTGCCTGCGCACACTTCACTTCCTCTTTTAGCGATGACCGTCGGTTAAGTTTTTAGGGAAGTCGGTCTGAGAGGAGAAGAGAGAAAGTTCCTTATGGGCCTCAGGAGGGAGGAGACGGAGTGTGATTAAGATACAAAGCAGGAGGGAACTGCATTGTTGAGGGGAAAGGGAAGAAGAAGAGGCCACAAGGTGAACACGCCGTATTGTTGTATCTGAACTCCCTCATTTTGTTTTCTTAGAATTCTCCTGTGTGTGTGTTTTTTTAATGCACGGTTCATGAAAGTAAGTGCCAGGTGAGCGTAGGTGTGCTCAGATTGGAAGATTTACACATCGTATAGCGCGCTGCTGCAGCACTGAGCTTTGAGTGACCCATGGCCTGTGGATGCAGTTTGTTCTCCCTTCCCATCCTCTTTTTCTCTATCTCCCTTTCTCCCTGCCTCGCTCTGACAGAGCGGTAAGTGTAGCCTGCTCCACTGTACTCTCCCTGCAGCTCCTTAGACATTAATCCATTGTGATGACATCGACCTTGCTCTGAGACGTGTGCGTGTGTGTGTGTCCAGTATCTTCCCTCCAGCTCATAACTACACAGGTATCACTGGTCCGTTCAATGACGATCTTCTCTCCTTGGCTGTCAAAACAGTAGTCCTGGGGAGCCCTGAAGACTGGTTGCTCAGTTGGCTGTGTGTGGTCGTGAATGTGTGTGTGTGCATGTGTGTGTGTGTGTGTGTGTAGGAAACATGCAAGTCGTAAAATAGCCCTCTCTAACCTTGGCTGTAAGAGAGCTGCACAAGGCCCTGGAGTTCCCGGCAGCCTCCAGGAGATGAGGGGTCTTTGTCTAATATGCTCCCCCAGCTGAGGAGCCTGGTCCCTGGGCACACACAGCCGTGACCCTGCGTCCCAGCCCCATGGGTGACCAGGCCCCCTCCCTCCGGAGAGCAGAGGAGAGGAAGAGGGGAGCTGAGCGGCACAAGAGGCCATCTGGTACCCAGTGGAGCTACGATGCACGCTTGACTTTAGCAAACGAGCATCACTTTCTGTTCCCGTGTCTGATTCAAACTGTGGCGTCCCAGTGACCTCCTGGTCCAGGTGACTGTCGCTCTGGGTTTGTGGATTGCAGATTCTTGCAGAGCGTGGCCATGAGGTGGATTTCAGATGGACAGTTAGATAAAGACGTGAACAATCTTTCTGTGAAATGTTCACCTTGAGATGGTTTTTACATTTTCCTGTGTGTGTGTGCTGCAAGAAAAAAAATCCTGACAAGAAAAAAAACCTGCATGACTGCCTGTCATCTGCATCACGATTTAGATATCTGGATTATCTTATTTATAAACAGAAAAACATACCTTTAACATTTTATAGACCAAACAAATAATTGTTTTATTGAAGAAAATTCTTTAACTGATAATAAAAAATCATCATTAGTTGCAGCCATAAGCGGAGCTAAAAATACCAGCGGCAGTGAAGAAACCGGAACAAAAAAATGTTTTACTATTTGTTCTCAAGTGCTCCTGCTTTACATTTCTTGGTGTGTGTGTGTGTGTGTGTGTGTGTGTGTGTGTGTGTGTGTTGCACCAGCGTGTGTTTGTGTTTGAGGTCAGGTCATGCAGATGGTGTGAAGTTGCAGCACAGACGGTTTCCTCAATTTAACTGCTTTTTATTATGCAAATCACCCTTTTATGAGACACACACTTTTGTGTGCGTGTGCGACTGTGTCCGTGTTTTTGTGCTCGTTTGGAGCTGATTGCATCAATTCAGCGAAATATTAAGTAATCCGACATGTCGGCGTTTAATGTCGAGGGTGTAAAAAGCGACGTCTTGTAATCTTAAGACGAATAAATGATTTTTTCATGATTATTTTCTTAATTTACATTTATCACTGGTTAATTATTCTCGCCCGCGTTCCTCCCCGGCACATTAGCAATTTCCCGGCTTGTTAATTTATTGATCATTTCTGTCTCTTCCTCTCTTTTTTTTTTTTTCCCGTTGCTCTTGTTTCAGAGGTGGGAGGTATCAGCGAGGAGACGGCATCGTGCGATTGGTGGAGTTTGGGCGCCATCCTGTTTGAGCTCCTGACGGGCATGGTGAGTCAAAAAGCGCAAAAAGATGTTTTTTTATCTTTGTTGCTAAGGTGTTGTGGGATGTCTGTAGGTGTCTTGGCTTTCAACTCTCTCACACTCTTTATGGTGGTGCCAGGTTGTGTGTGATTTTGCGCGCGTGTCTGTGTGTGTTTGAGTAGGTGGAGTTTGTTGTTTCGGTGTGTGCGAATGTGTGCGAGGTGCGTCTTGGCTGCGCTCTCTTACTCTGGTTCTCGGGGAGTGCCAGGGGTGTCGGTGTGACTTTCTCCCCCAGCCTGAGCTCCATCTGCTGGGCCATGGGGTCAGCTCTCCCCGGGCCTCTTTGCTGGCTCCTACAGCAGCGCCGGGCTCGGAGCACACCGACCTCCGATCGGCGTGGAAGGTGAAGACCGGGGCAGCTCTCAAGGTGCTGCAGCTTGGCGGGTCCGGGATCGGAGGGACCATCTTTCAAGACAGGCCTGGGAGGAAGGGGAGCGTCTCGGAGCCAAGACAACAAATACATATTCAGCTGCTGTACATGTACACAAATACATGCTCGTTGTGACTTGGTGCTCTCTTGAAGGACAAACCGGTGCAGGTGCAGCGTGTTCCTTCAGTTTTTTGTTGTCTTTTAAATTTGAATAAATTTTACCTGATTGCCGGTGGGCAAATGTTCCTGTCAGCCACCAGTGCTTCTCTTCAGTGGCCCAGACATGAGTCGGGGTCGGTGTTGTTATGTTCAACAATACACACTCACTTACCTGGATAGGGCAACAAAAAAACACCCTCCGTCACACAGATGCCTCCTTTGATGATTATGTCTTGGTACGGTCCTGGCAAGGATACACACACACAGGCACACATAGTGTCTCTTGATCCTTGCAGGATAAGATCTTGCCTGGAGCAGTCTTGGCTGCGGCTAGGAACGCAGCCAGAACTCCTGCAGCATGTATCAGGAGGGAGACAGAGGCAACCGACCTAACTGATGGAAAAAACACACCGCGTCCCCCCAATACAAACAAACAGTTTATGGCTTTAACTTGCAGCGCACACTCTGCTTTCCAGTTTGTCAGTGCAGACGCGCTGAAAGATGTGCTGCTGATAACAGTCATTATTGTCAATTATTTCAACAATAGGACCACGTTGTGTGGTTAGCAAAGCCTTCGCAGGTCTTGTGCTCGTTCTCTCTCTCTAATGGGATTAGTTTTACTTTGTTTTCCTGCGAGCGCAACGCCGGCTGCTTAACTGAACCGACAGTTTGACCTGCTCAGGTTTTACTTTGAAAACAAATTAAAAAAAAAAAAAAAAGAAACAGGCCTACAGAAAGCTTCCTCTGTTTAAATGAAGAACAAGCAAACCAAAAACAATAATGTTTTCCGTGTCATTCTCTCTGTGACTCACACAACAGATCCAAGAAAGAGCAACAGCGGTGAAATCATCGCCGTGTTGTGCTTGCTGTGATCAGTGTTGTTTCAGGTGCTCTGGCTCTCTGGCCTCCTCCTATTTGTCCACTCCTGGTACCCTAACATGCACTTATTCTCAGCGGGTGTCCGTAAATTCTGTGTTTTACATCGATGCTTATCTTGCCTCTCTTCTTTCCACTCCTCCTTTCCTCGCACAGTCTCTGCTGCGCTGCCATCCAGCAGGAATCGGTCGCCACACAGCTCTCAACATCCCCGAGTCGGTTTCAGAGGAGGCCAGATCTCTGCTGGAGCAGGTGAGAGTCCAGAGAGCCGCTGTAGTCACTTCACATACAGACTCGTATGTTGACCAAGAGGCCCGCTCCGGTACATTTAGGAATTTAGGAAAAAGATGCACAAGACTTTACAGCGCTGACATGGTAGCAGGAAGACTTTTAAATAATATGGTGTGAAAATAAAACCTCACTGTAGCTCCTTTAACTCATCAGGAGTTTATGTGTAGCACATGTACAGACAGATATAAACATGTCTTTAGCGGTGCTGGTACCGTGTTATTGTTCAAGCTCATTGCAAATCTTCAGGGCTGGTAATCTGTAGATGCCTGTTAATGTGGATAAGCTTGATTTGTCTTTGCTTATGTAGCACAAAACCAACGTGAATCCTTTGTGATCGTCCTCTAAAGGCTCCTGGACAATGTGCTTTAATGTGAATTTGTGATTTGTGAGCCCTCAGTAGTGACGTCAGAGCTTACAAACTACACTGAGACGGCAGAAATCGACTCCTTCAGCAGCAGCTAGTAGTTCTAGCTCCCATTGGACACGAGTTCTGTGAACGTCCAGAGTCGCAGCGAAAAACTTGTTGCAGATGTATTTTTCTGAGTGTTAGTTTTTAATACGGTTCCACATATTAACTTCCATTCACCTCCCGTTGGATTGTGGTGTTTTGGAGTCGGATGCCTCAAATTAAATCTGTCTAAATTAGCCGCAGTGCACTTGGGAGCAGCCAGAGCGTCCTCGTTTGTGTTTTATTCTGTTCGTGCACTGTGAATTAATAGGACATTAATACAATACCACAGCTACACTGGTCTGCTCTCAAATGCAATACAATAAACGTTTATTTGCATTTAAATTATAAGCTGAGACGCACATTAAAAACCGTTACACTGAGCCAACAAGCGTTCACAGTAGCTCAGAATATGTCACTATAGGTATAAAAGGTGTGATTGTGTTTTCATCGACTGTTGCTCATTCTATTCATGAAGTGATTCGATGAGTCCATGCCTGCAGTGAAGCCAAATGTTAGTGCATTTAAGCAGAAAAACTCAAAAGTCTACGTGAAAAAATAGCCCAGAGGAAACAATATTATCTGAATGTATTAGCAGCTCTGATGGATTCATCCCGAGCTCGAGCACTTTGTTCCTCATTATCTCACCGTATAGACTGTGAGCCTGCGCAGCTGTTTGCTTGTCGAAAGGCATTTAGGTTAAGAAGGCTTCAGATGATCACAGTGACATTTCGGAAGACATCCATAAATTGAGCGCAGACCCCGTCTCAATGAAGTCCTGCTGCTGCCTGATGGTACAGCTGTTTAATAAAGTCAAAGAAAAGAAGGCGCTCTTCCACATTTGCGGTGCATCACAGTGGCTGAAAGCACATTTAAAGAGCTGTACACGAGTTGGTGATGCTGTGAAAGTGAAGGAGACGGAGCTGAGCTCTGCCAGGGGGCAGTTTGGATATCAGGAGGCAGAGCTGAGCTCGGTGGACTCCAGCCCAGTTAACCCCCGACTGTCCTCATCAGTCGAACTGTACAGTTAGTGTGTGTTTGAACTGCTTTGGCTTTAAAAGGACATTTTATGCAAGAACTATGTGAAATCTGAATTTTTTGACATCATGCATCATTTTGCAGCCTCAGTGTTGTTCACGTAGTTTAAAGATTTTAGGCTCATGTCTTTTTTTCTTTGTTGTTTCACTTTGTCTGTTCAATAACTACGTTTGTTTCCTTCTGTGCTCTCTGTCCTCCTGTGCAGTTGCTCCAGTACAACCCAATGGAGAGACTGGGGGCAGGAGTGGGGGGCGTGGACGATATCAAATCCCACCCTTTCTTTGCCAGAGTGGACTGGCCCAAATAGACGCTGTGCGTTGTGGAACTGTGGAAACCAGAACTGCATGCTGGGAAACCGGCTGTCCTGAACAAACTCCCGTCTGACTGGACACACAAACAGATACACAGTAAATCCAGATTATGCATTTCTGCACAGATCTCCCATTTTACATGCAAACCCCACGAACCCGTCAGGTTTATGGTTTTGTTTTGTTTTTATTAATAGAGTTTACCAAGCAGCAGTATTCCCTTCTTTGTACAGTTCTCATTTCTTTATCTCATTAACTGTGCAACGTTTTTGGTGCAGGGAACACTTGACACGTGTGTGGTGCAATAATTTATACGATAGGTGTGTGTTCTGAGTGATGACCCACTACAGCTGTGTTGCTTTCACACTCCTCATGCATTAGCTAGACGCCAAAATGTACTGACCGGGAGTGAGAGGTGACATTTCTGTTCTCACTGCGTTGCTTTGGTTCTGTCAGACTGACACAGACTCAAGTCCTAAAGACCCGTGTGCAATACACTCAGTTTGTTTTCCACACTCGGATCATTCCTCATGGAGCCCACTGAGATTAGCTGGCATGAGGCAAGTTGAGTTTTTAATTTGATGCTCTGACCAAGAAACTGACGTAATTTCTTACGACATCAAACCTTTTGTGTCGATCCCTTTTGTTGCCAATGAGCCTACGATCAATAACACGGACGGACTCTATGCAAGGTGAAGATATTTAGAGGTGTGTGTGTTGTTCAGTGAAGAATTTAGTCATCCTAAGTTATTTAATAGATTATAGCTAGAAAGGGGGCCAGTTGAAGACACACAGCCGCAGCTATGTGTGGTGTTTTTCATTTAAGAAAAAAAAGACGAGGCGCGCCATTTGAAACCAGCCCTTTTTCAGAGTCCAATAGTTTCTATGAATATCAGAGGGAACTCTCTGTATTGTACAACACTGCATTTTGTGCATGTAGGACTATGAGTCGTGTAATATATTTAATACTATGAAAAATCTATCAGACAATAAATGTGTATCATGTACATAAACCTTTTCAAAGATGCTGCGCTGAGCGAAAGGTTCAACCAGGTGTCGTCCGACTCGTCGATCACGTCCTGCCACGTCAGTCAAATCCTTTTTACTCCACTGTTTGTGTTTCGAGCAACACATCAACTGATCGTAATACTAATTTTATAATCGCTACAATAACTGGTTTACATTTTTATCGGTACATTTCATGCCATATATCACTTTGAGGCTTTTGAGCGTCGCCGGAGCATATTTAACACGTCTGTGTAACCTCCACTCAGATAATCACTCCTCTGTAGATGCTGCACTCTGTTTCTTCTCCGCATCACGGTAACATACATGTTCACTAAAAGATACTGTAAATGACCAGCTTCATGTTCCACCTATTAACCCCTTTTATCAGGCATAAACATTACTGTGACAGCAGATTGTTTTTCTGATTTCTATTAATGCTCACTCGTGTGTCATGTCAGTGCACTCTGGAAAACAATAAACATGCCTGGATGAGTACATGAACCGTAGTGACGCTTCTTGTGTAGACGCACAGGAACTGGGAGTGTGTTTGTTTGTTTGTTTGTTTGTTTGTTTGGCTGCAACCCGTCTTATCCGCTGGACCGATGATACTCCTAGAAAATGTCACTGCGACCACAATATAAGACAGCAAACATACACGCACAGTGTAGTAAATATCCAGCGGTCATTGATGTACATGGGCCTTTTGGGGGAGCACTTCCTGTTTTTCTGCCCGCTTCTCCTCAGTCGTGCAACTTTGTGGTGAAATTTAGAGTTTTCCATCCAGCAGCGGGGTGCACAGAGATACACTGAGGACTTTAATGAGCGGTTTTCAAGCACAGCGACGCAGAAAGATGGCTGAGTCCCCTGAGGTTGCATCTTTGTGAGAACAAAGACGACCGGGAGGAGAGGTGGGTTTCTGACAAAAAGTGTGTCCAGCTTAGAGGAAACTTTGTTAGACGAGAGGACTGACAAAGTTCCACTCTCATGGTGAAGTTGTGGCTGCAGTCGGCAGCTGGGGACCTTAAGTCAACATGAAGACTCAGGCCTCAATCGGAGCCTCTTGTGGACGTGCACTCAGGCCTGCAAACGCCATGGTTGTTGCTGTTCATTATGGCTAACAATGGTGCTACTTTCTAGTGTTTCACACATACATGCAGCATAAAGCCTGGATCGTACTTTCTTGCTGATGGTGTGGATACCACAGACACAAAGGTGTTGTAGTGAGTCCATGTCTGCATGCTGGCGTGCTACTGCCGAGCATGCACAGTATTTTGCTCGTTGCATGGCTGCAAAGTCTGGCCTGCATGCAGATGATTGCAGATTTGGTTGGGGAGTTCATGAAATATCTATTACGGATGTAGGGAAAGTGTAACAAGTTTGAATGGCTTTAAACTTCCTACGTCAAGTGTGCAGGCCCCACAGTAGACAACTGCTGTAACCCAAAATGTGTTTCCATGTGGCAACTGCACTACAGAGGCAATATAAAAGCATGTGCATGCAAAATATGACCTCCTGTGCATGTATGTCCATTGCTGCTACACCTCCTTTTTACCTTTTTGCAGGACGGCTGGGCAGAACTCTTTTATTTTTACTAGGAAAGCTCAGGGAGTGAAGATGTGAGGCGTGAGGCTGGTTGGGGTTCGGATACGAACCTCAGAGTAAGACAGTCAGATCCAGAGCAGGACAGCTCACGCCTTTGCCACCCTGCAAAACAAACATTTGTGACCAGGGCAACTCGCAGACGATTCAGGGTTTTACTGCAGAATTTTACTTTTTACCTCAAACCATGAGGCAGAGCATCAAACGGCCAGTTTTACTTCAACGTAACAAACAGGTGGAGCGTTCATAAAGGAAGAACCCAGAAGAACTGATCTCAGCTGTTTAAGAAACATATCCAGATACTCTCGTTGGGTTTGGTTGCAGATTCTCACATATCACAGAAGAATGGACTGCTGGCTTTGCTGTGTGTCTGTGCTCCCGGAGTGCCCTTCTGCTTCCACTGTTTTATTTGTACAGATGATCCAAACAAAATAGATGTAAATGTTTTAAGCTTTAGAGGCATTCGCAGGCAAATTTCTAAAGTTGTATCGTTTTTCTCACCTCACCTCAGCAAGACAGCAAATAAGCAATCGAAAAATGTTGAACTGTACAGAATATAAAACGTAATCCAAGAACTTTTTTGTGCGCAAATATGAAGAAAATCACTTTGTAGTTGAAATGAACTGAAGCCGTTCCTGCTTCGTCTCCATCACCTGGAACGACAGGCGCTCATCCAGACGATCCACAGCGATCGGGGGGAGTTGTTAGCAGTGTTGGAGAGCGTTCCCTTGTGTCAGCTTTACTGCCACGGGGTCAAGAGTCTGGGCTGATTAGTGCTCGTCATAAGACCTGTCTCACATTACACACACACTCAGGGCGAGAGGTTCACTTCAGCTCCGAGAAGAAACCTGTCAATCTCGCTCAGCGTCGATGTGCCGCGTGCCTTCGGTGGGCTCGCGGTAGCTGCAGGATCCCCGCGAGCATATTTTATGTTCTACATCTTTAACAGCACATCAAATAAACCGAGGAACTGCGGGATATGTGAGGGATTTGGCTCAACACGGAGCTCTGCTGTGTCTCAAAGTGTCTTTAATGACTATGGACACCTTCAGTTCAAACAGTTGTATATTCTGTAGGGTTTGTGCTGTTTAACAAAGTTTAAGCTTCGATAAGTTTACGTCAATTTAGAAAGGTCAGTGTGGGAGGTGTACACCAGCCTTTAGACACATAGGGCCCAAAGTCTAGGATTTCAAAAGCAATTTGATCGACACTTATTGAGCGAAACACAATTATCACTTTCAGCTTTTTTTCCTTCACAATCATCGACAGCCTGAAGTCTTTGACCAACATCAGCAGAACATTGGCATCTTCCCCGGTGATGCTCATGAGTTTAGGTGATGGAGTCGGCCCGCTGAGGCGTCTGAAACTCTTTGGNGAATTTTGTGGATAAACGCAGCTCGTCGGTGAACTGAGCCGGACTCGAGCGAACCTCAGGCCGGGTGTGAAAGGTCTTGTTTGTTAAACGACAGTTGATCCCATGTGGCTCGCTGGATGTAATGCGTGTTCGCCGCCAGCAGGGGGTGTGTTACGCTGCTGAGTGAGGAGAACGCTGGTGTGACCGTCCCACTCAAACACTGGCAACTTTCTCTCTTTATCTCGTGTCTCATTCTGTCCATCTTTACGTTAGATTCGGACAGAAACGCCGATCACAAAGTCACAGTGTCACCTGCTTTGCTTGCTTGTGCTTTTTTTTTTTTCTATACTTGCAGACTCCGACATGCATCATGCGTCTGTCTTTAGATGTATGTACATGTGAACACACACACACACACACACACACACACACACACACACACACACATTAACGCAGAGGTTAGTGTGTGTCTCTCCTGCCCTTGTTATGTATTGCTGTTTATCCAGACAGGGTCAGCTCTAGCGATGGCTTCATTCCTGATGACAGATTTATGACTGTTTGCCAGAAAGCTAGCAGGGGGCCTGCTGTGACTGTAAGTGTGCGTGTGTCTCTCTGTGTGTGTGTGTGTGTGTGTGTGTGTGTGTGTGCGTGCACGTCAGAAGGAGGGAAACATGTTTTTAAAACGCACGTTCACGCCCAAAAAACACGGGAGTGTGCTCGGAAAATACAGCGGCGACGTATTAATCTGTTTATTCTGCACTTCTGCTTATTTATTTTCTCACCATTTTGTCATTGCTGATAAACATCAGATGGTTAATGTTTTGTTCACTGATAAGAAAAAGAAAAAAAAAAAGCTGCTGAGTGACTGTAACCTAATTTAAGCAGAAATAGGAATTGTTTATTGTTCTGTGGAGAAGGAAGCGAGGCCAAAACTGATTGACTTGAATGTCTAAGAAAAGGGAAATTCAGACTTCTTCCTCCCCGAGGGAACAAGGCAGTTACTGAGGACGCTCGCTGTTTGTTGTTTTTTATTTCATTTTACCTGCGCAGCTACATGCATGATGCGATGGAAGATAAAAGTTTTGTTCCTCTTTTGACACCGAGCTGTTATGTCATGGCTTTAAAGGGCTTTTCAAGGAACAAGTAGTATCCTGAAAGTACTTCTGCTTTGCTTCTCAAATATATTTACGCTCTCCTTACAGGAAAATTAGCTTTGTGTTAGCTTATATGATTTATTGTTTGTGACTGCTCAGCTCACCTGACACACACTCTTGTGTCTTGGAACACAGATTTATTTAATAGTATCACCAGGAATGAGTGTTCTCCCGCACAGAACAAACCAATAACTGCATGTTTCCTCCCAGTTCAACAAAGATAGACTTGAATTATTTTATTAGACCCGAAGAAGAAAGAAGCGTCACCGTGAACCCAAAAGCATCGGCTTTATAATGATTCAGCCGACAGTCACCTCAAGAATATATTTGTTGTGATCAGATATCCAAAAAAAAAATGACTGGCTTTGTCTTCTCACACTTTCCCTTGACTTTCATGTCCTAAAAGATGTAAAGGAGGGAATTAGGAAAAGAAAACTATTGTGTTAAAAGACTGCATGTACACAAGGATGATGTGCAGACGTTGTTGGCATGTTGTCCCTAAGATGAGACGATCGTTTTAAACTGATCTCCGTCTTACACGCAAGGCTACACGTTAAAGACGTAACGACACGGTTCTCACGTGTTTATTCACGCAAATTCCAATTAGCACGACTGTATGAAAATACATGTAAATTATATGCAAAACAGGCAAATCTGCTCCCGTACGTATAAATCTTAAGTTTCAGTCACCTGTCAAAAAATACTTGACGTCCCTTTTTTCTTGAGACAGGCCTCGGTTTTGTTGTTAATGTGTTTATTCTGATCTGAGTAGAAATCACAAGGAATATTATCTCCTTTATTTTCTGAAAGCACAGTCCAGTGTGTCCAACACTGAAGGAGAACAGAGGAAACACTGAAGCACATTTCTATACAGTTTAGAGACTTCAGACAGCTCTTATCATGGCTGCCACTTAAATACATCAGGCTCATTAAACAAAGCAAAAAAAAAAAACTATTCAACTGCACTTCTCAGATCTTCTTCCTGTGTGACATTAAATTCTAACAAAACTTAAAGAAATCGTTTTATGATTCTGCACTTACATTTTTCTTATTTTTATTTAACTCTTTGTGTCCTGCTTGTATCGTCCTCCTGCGCTGATGTGTGTCTCCTTCATATTTTTGTCGAAAGGTGTCCGACAGGTTAGTCTCGCCTTGCCTTGGAACGTTGCGCGCCGAGCCTTCCTTACTTCCTGCCTGCGCACACTTCACTTCCTCTTTTAGCGATGACCGTCGGTTAAGTTTTTAGGGAAGTCGGTCTGAGAGGAGAAGAGAGAAAGTTCCTTATGGGCCTCAGGAGGGAGGAGACGGAGTGTGATTAAGATACAAAGCAGGAGGGAACTGCATTGTTGAGGGGAAAGGGAAGAAGAAGAGGCCACAAGGTGAACACGCCGTATTGTTGTATCTGAACTCCCTCATTTTGTTTTCTTAGAATTCTCCTGTGTGTGTGTTTTTTTAATGCACGGTTCATGAAAGTAAGTGCCAGGTGAGCGTAGGTGTGCTCAGATTGGAAGATTTACACATCGTATAGCGCGCTGCTGCAGCACTGAGCTTTGAGTGACCCATGGCCTGTGGATGCAGTTTGTTCTCCCTTCCCATCCTCTTTTTCTCTATCTCCCTTTCTCCCTGCCTCGCTCTGACAGAGCGGTAAGTGTAGCCTGCTCCACTGTACTCTCCCTGCAGCTCCTTAGACATTAATCCATTGTGATGACATCGACCTTGCTCTGAGACGTGTGCGTGTGTGTGTGTCCAGTATCTTCCCTCCAGCTCATAACTACACAGGTATCACTGGTCCGTTCAATGACGATCTTCTCTCCTTGGCTGTCAAAACAGTAGTCCTGGGGAGCCCTGAAGACTGGTTGCTCAGTTGGCTGTGTGTGGTCGTGAATGTGTGTGTGTGCATGTGTGTGTGTGTGTGTGTGTAGGAAACATGCAAGTCGTAAAATAGCCCTCTCTAACCTTGGCTGTAAGAGAGCTGCACAAGGCCCTGGAGTTCCCGGCAGCCTCCAGGAGATGAGGGGTCTTTGTCTAATATGCTCCCCCAGCTGAGGAGCCTGGTCCCTGGGCACACACAGCCGTGACCCTGCGTCCCAGCCCCATGGGTGACCAGGCCCCCTCCCTCCGGAGAGCAGAGGAGAGGAAGAGGGGAGCTGAGCGGCACAAGAGGCCATCTGGTACCCAGTGGAGCTACGATGCACGCTTGACTTTAGCAAACGAGCATCACTTTCTGTTCCCGTGTCTGATTCAAACTGTGGCGTCCCAGTGACCTCCTGGTCCAGGTGACTGTCGCTCTGGGTTTGTGGATTGCAGATTCTTGCAGAGCGTGGCCATGAGGTGGATTTCAGATGGACAGTTAGATAAAGACGTGAACAATCTTTCTGTGAAATGTTCACCTTGAGATGGTTTTTACATTTTCCTGTGTGTGTGTGCTGCAAGAAAAAAAATCCTGACAAGAAAAAAAACCTGCATGACTGCCTGTCATCTGCATCACGATTTAGATATCTGGATTATCTTATTTATAAACAGAAAAACATACCTTTAACATTTTATAGACCAAACAAATAATTGTTTTATTGAAGAAAATTCTTTAACTGATAATAAAAAATCATCATTAGTTGCAGCCATAAGCGGAGCTAAAAATACCAGCGGCAGTGAAGAAACCGGAACAAAAAAATGTTTTACTATTTGTTCTCAAGTGCTCCTGCTTTACATTTCTTGGTGTGTGTGTGTGTGTGTGTGTGTGTGTGTGTGTGTGTGTGTTGCACCAGCGTGTGTTTGTGTTTGAGGTCAGGTCATGCAGATGGTGTGAAGTTGCAGCACAGACGGTTTCCTCAATTTAACTGCTTTTTATTATGCAAATCACCCTTTTATGAGACACACACTTTTGTGTGCGTGTGCGACTGTGTCCGTGTTTTTGTGCTCGTTTGGAGCTGATTGCATCAATTCAGCGAAATATTAAGTAATCCGACATGTCGGCGTTTAATGTCGAGGGTGTAAAAAGCGACGTCTTGTAATCTTAAGACGAATAAATGATTTTTTCATGATTATTTTCTTAATTTACATTTATCACTGGTTAATTATTCTCGCCCGCGTTCCTCCCCGGCACATTAGCAATTTCCCGGCTTGTTAATTTATTGATCATTTCTGTCTCTTCCTCTCTTTTTTTTTTTTTCCCGTTGCTCTTGTTTCAGAGGTGGGAGGTATCAGCGAGGAGACGGCATCGTGCGATTGGTGGAGTTTGGGCGCCATCCTGTTTGAGCTCCTGACGGGCATGGTGAGTCAAAAAGCGCAAAAAGATGTTTTTTTATCTTTGTTGCTAAGGTGTTGTGGGATGTCTGTAGGTGTCTTGGCTTTCAACTCTCTCACACTCTTTATGGTGGTGCCAGGTTGTGTGTGATTTTGCGCGCGTGTCTGTGTGTGTTTGAGTAGGTGGAGTTTGTTGTTTCGGTGTGTGCGAATGTGTGCGAGGTGCGTCTTGGCTGCGCTCTCTTACTCTGGTTCTCGGGGAGTGCCAGGGGTGTCGGTGTGACTTTCTCCCCCAGCCTGAGCTCCATCTGCTGGGCCATGGGGTCAGCTCTCCCCGGGCCTCTTTGCTGGCTCCTACAGCAGCGCCGGGCTCGGAGCACACCGACCTCCGATCGGCGTGGAAGGTGAAGACCGGGGCAGCTCTCAAGGTGCTGCAGCTTGGCGGGTCCGGGATCGGAGGGACCATCTTTCAAGACAGGCCTGGGAGGAAGGGGAGCGTCTCGGAGCCAAGACAACAAATACATATTCAGCTGCTGTACATGTACACAAATACATGCTCGTTGTGACTTGGTGCTCTCTTGAAGGACAAACCGGTGCAGGTGCAGCGTGTTCCTTCAGTTTTTTGTTGTCTTTTAAATTTGAATAAATTTTACCTGATTGCCGGTGGGCAAATGTTCCTGTCAGCCACCAGTGCTTCTCTTCAGTGGCCCAGACATGAGTCGGGGTCGGTGTTGTTATGTTCAACAATACACACTCACTTACCTGGATAGGGCAACAAAAAAACACCCTCCGTCACACAGATGCCTCCTTTGATGATTATGTCTTGGTACGGTCCTGGCAAGGATACACACACACAGGCACACATAGTGTCTCTTGATCCTTGCAGGATAAGATCTTGCCTGGAGCAGTCTTGGCTGCGGCTAGGAACGCAGCCAGAACTCCTGCAGCATGTATCAGGAGGGAGACAGAGGCAACCGACCTAACTGATGGAAAAAACACACCGCGTCCCCCCAATACAAACAAACAGTTTATGGCTTTAACTTGCAGCGCACACTCTGCTTTCCAGTTTGTCAGTGCAGACGCGCTGAAAGATGTGCTGCTGATAACAGTCATTATTGTCAATTATTTCAACAATAGGACCACGTTGTGTGGTTAGCAAAGCCTTCGCAGGTCTTGTGCTCGTTCTCTCTCTCTAATGGGATTAGTTTTACTTTGTTTTCCTGCGAGCGCAACGCCGGCTGCTTAACTGAACCGACAGTTTGACCTGCTCAGGTTTTACTTTGAAAACAAATTAAAAAAAAAAAAAAAAGAAACAGGCCTACAGAAAGCTTCCTCTGTTTAAATGAAGAACAAGCAAACCAAAAACAATAATGTTTTCCGTGTCATTCTCTCTGTGACTCACACAACAGATCCAAGAAAGAGCAACAGCGGTGAAATCATCGCCGTGTTGTGCTTGCTGTGATCAGTGTTGTTTCAGGTGCTCTGGCTCTCTGGCCTCCTCCTATTTGTCCACTCCTGGTACCCTAACATGCACTTATTCTCAGCGGGTGTCCGTAAATTCTGTGTTTTACATCGATGCTTATCTTGCCTCTCTTCTTTCCACTCCTCCTTTCCTCGCACAGTCTCTGCTGCGCTGCCATCCAGCAGGAATCGGTCGCCACACAGCTCTCAACATCCCCGAGTCGGTTTCAGAGGAGGCCAGATCTCTGCTGGAGCAGGTGAGAGTCCAGAGAGCCGCTGTAGTCACTTCACATACAGACTCGTATGTTGACCAAGAGGCCCGCTCCGGTACATTTAGGAATTTAGGAAAAAGATGCACAAGACTTTACAGCGCTGACATGGTAGCAGGAAGACTTTTAAATAATATGGTGTGAAAATAAAACCTCACTGTAGCTCCTTTAACTCATCAGGAGTTTATGTGTAGCACATGTACAGACAGATATAAACATGTCTTTAGCGGTGCTGGTACCGTGTTATTGTTCAAGCTCATTGCAAATCTTCAGGGCTGGTAATCTGTAGATGCCTGTTAATGTGGATAAGCTTGATTTGTCTTTGCTTATGTAGCACAAAACCAACGTGAATCCTTTGTGATCGTCCTCTAAAGGCTCCTGGACAATGTGCTTTAATGTGAATTTGTGATTTGTGAGCCCTCAGTAGTGACGTCAGAGCTTACAAACTACACTGAGACGGCAGAAATCGACTCCTTCAGCAGCAGCTAGTAGTTCTAGCTCCCATTGGACACGAGTTCTGTGAACGTCCAGAGTCGCAGCGAAAAACTTGTTGCAGATGTATTTTTCTGAGTGTTAGTTTTTAATACGGTTCCACATATTAACTTCCATTCACCTCCCGTTGGATTGTGGTGTTTTGGAGTCGGATGCCTCAAATTAAATCTGTCTAAATTAGCCGCAGTGCACTTGGGAGCAGCCAGAGCGTCCTCGTTTGTGTTTTATTCTGTTCGTGCACTGTGAATTAATAGGACATTAATACAATACCACAGCTACACTGGTCTGCTCTCAAATGCAATACAATAAACGTTTATTTGCATTTAAATTATAAGCTGAGACGCACATTAAAAACCGTTACACTGAGCCAACAAGCGTTCACAGTAGCTCAGAATATGTCACTATAGGTATAAAAGGTGTGATTGTGTTTTCATCGACTGTTGCTCATTCTATTCATGAAGTGATTCGATGAGTCCATGCCTGCAGTGAAGCCAAATGTTAGTGCATTTAAGCAGAAAAACTCAAAAGTCTACGTGAAAAAATAGCCCAGAGGAAACAATATTATCTGAATGTATTAGCAGCTCTGATGGATTCATCCCGAGCTCGAGCACTTTGTTCCTCATTATCTCACCGTATAGACTGTGAGCCTGCGCAGCTGTTTGCTTGTCGAAAGGCATTTAGGTTAAGAAGGCTTCAGATGATCACAGTGACATTTCGGAAGACATCCATAAATTGAGCGCAGACCCCGTCTCAATGAAGTCCTGCTGCTGCCTGATGGTACAGCTGTTTAATAAAGTCAAAGAAAAGAAGGCGCTCTTCCACATTTGCGGTGCATCACAGTGGCTGAAAGCACATTTAAAGAGCTGTACACGAGTTGGTGATGCTGTGAAAGTGAAGGAGACGGAGCTGAGCTCTGCCAGGGGGCAGTTTGGATATCAGGAGGCAGAGCTGAGCTCGGTGGACTCCAGCCCAGTTAACCCCCGACTGTCCTCATCAGTCGAACTGTACAGTTAGTGTGTGTTTGAACTGCTTTGGCTTTAAAAGGACATTTTATGCAAGAACTATGTGAAATCTGAATTTTTTGACATCATGCATCATTTTGCAGCCTCAGTGTTGTTCACGTAGTTTAAAGATTTTAGGCTCATGTCTTTTTTTCTTTGTTGTTTCACTTTGTCTGTTCAATAACTACGTTTGTTTCCTTCTGTGCTCTCTGTCCTCCTGTGCAGTTGCTCCAGTACAACCCAATGGAGAGACTGGGGGCAGGAGTGGGGGGCGTGGACGATATCAAATCCCACCCTTTCTTTGCCAGAGTGGACTGGCCCAAATAGACGCTGTGCGTTGTGGAACTGTGGAAACCAGAACTGCATGCTGGGAAACCGGCTGTCCTGAACAAACTCCCGTCTGACTGGACACACAAACAGATACACAGTAAATCCAGATTATGCATTTCTGCACAGATCTCCCATTTTACATGCAAACCCCACGAACCCGTCAGGTTTATGGTTTTGTTTTGTTTTTATTAATAGAGTTTACCAAGCAGCAGTATTCCCTTCTTTGTACAGTTCTCATTTCTTTATCTCATTAACTGTGCAACGTTTTTGGTGCAGGGAACACTTGACACGTGTGTGGTGCAATAATTTATACGATAGGTGTGTGTTCTGAGTGATGACCCACTACAGCTGTGTTGCTTTCACACTCCTCATGCATTAGCTAGACGCCAAAATGTACTGACCGGGAGTGAGAGGTGACATTTCTGTTCTCACTGCGTTGCTTTGGTTCTGTCAGACTGACACAGACTCAAGTCCTAAAGACCCGTGTGCAATACACTCAGTTTGTTTTCCACACTCGGATCATTCCTCATGGAGCCCACTGAGATTAGCTGGCATGAGGCAAGTTGAGTTTTTAATTTGATGCTCTGACCAAGAAACTGACGTAATTTCTTACGACATCAAACCTTTTGTGTCGATCCCTTTTGTTGCCAATGAGCCTACGATCAATAACACGGACGGACTCTATGCAAGGTGAAGATATTTAGAGGTGTGTGTGTTGTTCAGTGAAGAATTTAGTCATCCTAAGTTATTTAATAGATTATAGCTAGAAAGGGGGCCAGTTGAAGACACACAGCCGCAGCTATGTGTGGTGTTTTTCATTTAAGAAAAAAAAGACGAGGCGCGCCATTTGAAACCAGCCCTTTTTCAGAGTCCAATAGTTTCTATGAATATCAGAGGGAACTCTCTGTATTGTACAACACTGCATTTTGTGCATGTAGGACTATGAGTCGTGTAATATATTTAATACTATGAAAAATCTATCAGACAATAAATGTGTATCATGTACATAAACCTTTTCAAAGATGCTGCGCTGAGCGAAAGGTTCAACCAGGTGTCGTCCGACTCGTCGATCACGTCCTGCCACGTCAGTCAAATCCTTTTTACTCCACTGTTTGTGTTTCGAGCAACACATCAACTGATCGTAATACTAATTTTATAATCGCTACAATAACTGGTTTACATTTTTATCGGTACATTTCATGCCATATATCACTTTGAGGCTTTTGAGCGTCGCCGGAGCATATTTAACACGTCTGTGTAACCTCCACTCAGATAATCACTCCTCTGTAGATGCTGCACTCTGTTTCTTCTCCGCATCACGGTAACATACATGTTCACTAAAAGATACTGTAAATGACCAGCTTCATGTTCCACCTATTAACCCCTTTTATCAGGCATAAACATTACTGTGACAGCAGATTGTTTTTCTGATTTCTATTAATGCTCACTCGTGTGTCATGTCAGTGCACTCTGGAAAACAATAAACATGCCTGGATGAGTACATGAACCGTAGTGACGCTTCTTGTGTAGACGCACAGGAACTGGGAGTGTGTTTGTTTGTTTGTTTGTTTGTTTGTTTGGCTGCAACCCGTCTTATCCGCTGGACCGATGATACTCCTAGAAAATGTCACTGCGACCACAATATAAGACAGCAAACATACACGCACAGTGTAGTAAATATCCAGCGGTCATTGATGTACATGGGCCTTTTGGGGGAGCACTTCCTGTTTTTCTGCCCGCTTCTCCTCAGTCGTGCAACTTTGTGGTGAAATTTAGAGTTTTCCATCCAGCAGCGGGGTGCACAGAGATACACTGAGGACTTTAATGAGCGGTTTTCAAGCACAGCGACGCAGAAAGATGGCTGAGTCCCCTGAGGTTGCATCTTTGTGAGAACAAAGACGACCGGGAGGAGAGGTGGGTTTCTGACAAAAAGTGTGTCCAGCTTAGAGGAAACTTTGTTAGACGAGAGGACTGACAAAGTTCCACTCTCATGGTGAAGTTGTGGCTGCAGTCAGCAGGCGGGGACCTTAAGTCAACATGAAGACTCAGGCCTCAATCGGAGCCTCTTGTGGACGTGCACTCAGGCCTGCAAACGCCATGGTTGTTGCTGTTCATTATGGCTAACAATGGTGCTACTTTCTAGTGTTTCACACATACATGCAGCATAAAGCCTGGATCGTACTTTCTTGCTGATGGTGTGGATACCACAGACACAAAGGTGTTGTAGTGAGTCCATGTCTGCATGCTGGCGTGCTACTGCCGAGCATGCACAGTATTTTGCTCGTTGCATGGCTGCAAAGTCTGGCCTGCATGCAGATGATTGCAGATTTGGTTGGGGAGTTCATGAAATATCTATTACGGATGTAGGGAAAGTGTAACAAGTTTGAATGGCTTTAAACTTCCTACGTCAAGTGTGCAGGCCCCACAGTAGACAACTGCTGTAACCCAAAATGTGTTTCCATGTGGCAACTGCACTACAGAGGCAATATAAAAGCATGTGCATGCAAAATATGACCTCCTGTGCATGTATGTCCATTGCTGCTACACCTCCTTTTTACCTTTTTGCAGGACGGCTGGGCAGAACTCTTTTATTTTTACTAGGAAAGCTCAGGGAGTGAAGATGTGAGGCGTGAGGCTGGTTGGGGTTCGGATACGAACCTCAGAGTAAGACAGTCAGATCCAGAGCAGGACAGCTCACGCCTTTGCCACCCTGCAAAACAAACATTTGTGACCAGGGCAACTCGCAGACGATTCAGGGTTTTACTGCAGAATTTGACTTTTTACCTCAAACCAGGAGGCAGAGCATCAAACGGCCAGTTTTAATTCAACTTAACAACCAGGTGGAGCGTTCGTAAAGGAAGAACCCAGAAGAACTGATCTCAGCTGTTTAAGAAACATATCCAGATACTCTCGTTGGGTTTGGTTGCAGATTCTCACATATCACAGAAGAATGGACTGCTGGCTTTGCTGTGTGTCTGTGCTCCCGGAGTGCCCTTCTGCTTCCACTGTTTTATTTGTACAGATGATCCAAACAAAATAGATGTAAATGTTTTAAGCTTTAGAGGCATTCGCAGGCAAATTTCTAAAGTTGTATCGTTTTTCTCACCTCACCTCAGCAAGACAGCAAATAAGCAATCGAAAAATGTTGAACTGTACAGAATATAAAACGTAATCCAAGAACTTTTTTGTGCGCAAATATGAAGAAAATCACTTTGTAGTTGAAATGAACTGAAGCCGTTCCTGCTTCGTCTCCATCACCTGGAACGACAGGCGCTCATCCAGACGATCCACAGCGATCGGGGGGAGTTGTTAGCAGTGTTGGAGAGCGTTCCCTTGTGTCAGCTTTACTGCCACGGGGTCAAGAGTCTGGGCTGATTAGTGCTCGTCATAAGACCTGTCTCACATTACACACACACTCAGGGCGAGAGGTTCACTTCAGCTCCGAGAAGAAACCTGTCAATCTCGCTCAGCGTCGATGTGCCGCGTGCCTTCGGTGGGCTCGCGGTAGCTGCAGGATCCCCGCGAGCATATTTTATGTTCTACATCTTTAACAGCACATCAAATAAACCGAGGAACTGCGGGATATGTGAGGGATTTGGCTCAACACGGAGCTCTGCTGTGTCTCAAAGTGTCTTTAATGACTATGGACACCTTCAGTTCAAACAGTTGTATATTCTGTAGGGTTTGTGCTGTTTAACAAAGTTTAAGCTTCGATAAGTTTACGTCAATTTAGAAAGGTCAGTGTGGGAGGTGTACACCAGCCTTTAGACACAAAGGGCCCAACGTCTAGGATTTCAAAAGCAATTTGATCGACACTTATTGAGCGAAACACAATTATCACTTTCAGCTTTTTTTCCTTCACAATCATCGACAGCCTGAAGTCTTTGACCAACATCAGCAGAACATTGGCATCTTCCCCGGTGATGCTCATGAGTTTAGGTGATGGAGTCGGCCCGCTGAGGCGTCTGAAACTCTTTGGTTGGTTTGGTATATTGTTCCGATCACTGTCCTGCTGAATGATGAATGTCGTCTGATGAGTTTTGATGGATGTGTCTTCATCTGAGCGCTCCTCCGCATTCGTCCTGTTGCTTCTGTCGGCAGTGAAACGCCAACGTTCCACATCCGTTAGCCACAGACGCTCAGCTCTTAGCAGGAAAGCTACCAGATGAAGCTTTCTTCCTCTTTTTCTTCTCCACAAATGTTGATTTTTATTACTTCAGTCCACAGAACCGGTTTATTTTTGTGTGTTTTGGCAAGCTGCGACCCGACCTTTCTGTTTTTGAGCCTTACCTGGGGTGTGTATCTCGCGGTGAATCATCTGAGGTTCGTGAAGCCTTTTCTTGTTGCTGACAGTGAAAAACGTTTGCCGACATCCTGGAGAACATTCTCGTGCAGTCATCAAGGACTCCTCAGTCAGGAGATCGTTTGCCATTTACCCAACACATCAACCAGCTCTGATATCTGTGATGGGTTTAAAAAATATTTATTTAGCTAATTTGTTCCTGTTTCCTGCCTCATTAATTATCTCTGAACCTCTCAGATTAATTTGGGTTAGTTGGGCTGACCTCTAAGTTGAATTGAAATTGAAAGATCCCAACAGCTGTTTGTAAAACCAGCTCTACAGCAGGAAAATGCCTCCTGAGTTTCATGTGTATAGATAAACAATACATCTACATAGCAAGTGCTTTTCCTTTTTGATGCCAAAAGTACATGTTGTTGCTACTTTTGCACTTTTCTGAATGAAGGACTTTGACGTCATTGAGTGACGTCGCCACACTCGTGTTTTTAGCAAAGCGCCTCCATCACTGTCTGCGTAGCTCCTCACATACAAAGAGCCAAGGTGCATGTGTTTTGCATGTGTGTGTGTCTTTGTGTGTGTGCAGAGCCACAGGGAGGCATCCGTCTGGTCAG